AAGATACTCAGTATCTCTACAGCTGGATTTGGTAATGTTGGGAACTGTCTCTGACTCTCAAAAGTCTGTAAATCATTTCTGGACACATTCTCATGTATATTAGTTCGTATTCTATTACTATAGCAAATTGTATGAAACCGAGTACTTGATAAAATGAAAAGATTTGCTTAGCTCACTTTCTGTAGGTTCATGTAGCTTCTGGTGAGAGCTTCATGGCTGGTACATGGGAAAGGATGAAATCACTGCATCACAAAGTGGGAAGCCAGAGAAAGACTGAGGATCCCACCATCTTTTCCAAAGTTATACCCCCAGTTTACTAAAGACCTCCAACTAACTCCTCCACCAGTTCATACCAACATCCTGGGGACACAGCTTCCCTCGCAAAGAGCCATTGGGGGATAAACTCAAATGACTGTACAAAACATAACAGAATGACAAATGTCTCCAGAATGACAAAACAGAGCCAACAGGCTCCTACTGTCCTTCCTGCATATGGTGAGCTGGAAAGTGTATCTGTCAACTTGGTTTTCACTATGCTACCTAACAAACACACCCCACACCATCAGTGGCTAACAGAAAGCAATGAACATTTCTCACTCTGTGACAGCCAGTCTTGTAGGCTGTGCCTGAACTGTACTCTGTCTTCTGAGAAGGAGCAACTAGATTCAGATTCTGCCAGTCCCAAGGCAGAGACAAAATGGCAGAACACTGGCCCAGGCAAGCTCATTTCAGAAGCAACATACTATAGACATACTTCACTAGGCAGCAGTAGTCCCATGTGCAGGTCTGTTAGAATGCAGGAGAGGCAGACTCCAGACAACTGGGCAATAACACAAGTGACCTCACAACTGGTTAGAAAATTGGCCACAGCTTTAATTCTTCATCCTGGGCCAGGTAAAGAAGCCAACGAACTGAGACAAAGCCGAGACCATCAGTGTCAATTTTTAATTATGCTCCATCCTGGTTGTGTACAAGTTGGAAGAAGGGTTTCTGTCCTTCCTTTCTTTGTTTTTTTTTGTTTTGTTTTGTTTTGTTTTTTCCTTTTGAGATAGGATTTCCACTTGCAACTCAGACTGACACAGAACTCTCCAGGCACCAGACTGAGCCACATAAAACTGATTCTAGGTTTGACTTTTTGTCTTCTTTTGGTACTAGAGATTAGATCTAGCTTGTGTGTGGAGGGGGGTATTTTGGGGCATTATGTTTGGCCTAGGATAGCCTCAAACTAATGACAATCCTCCTATCTTATTTGGGAGGCCAAATGTCAGGTGATAGGTGTGAATCATATCCTCAACTTACTTCTTTGTCTTTTATATTTATTTGTTTATCGAGGCAGATTTCATGTGGCTTGGGCCACCCTCTGTCCTCAAACTCACTATATAACTGAGGATGAACTTGAACTTCTGATCCTCCTGCCTGTACATCCTGAGTGCTGGGATTACAGGTACGCACAACTGCACCCAGCTTATGCAGTGCTGGGAATCAAACCCAGAGCTTCGTAAATGTAAGCAAGCTCTCTAGCAGCTAAGTCACGTCCGCAGCCAAGATTCTCTTTCTTTTCTTAATTGTAATACATTATTTAGTGGGGGGTGAGGGGTGTGCACAGTATAACTTGTAGGAGTTAGTTTTTGCTATCTATCGTGTGGATCTCAGGGATCAAACCCAGGCTATCAGCCTTAACATTGAGTGCCTTGCTTGCTGAGTCATTTTCCCAGCCTGGTTTCTGTTCTCTGATTCACCTGAATTGGTGGTAGATGTGGTGCAAAGAGAAGTCCTGGCAACCAATCCTCAACAGGAACTCCCTCATTGCTGTTGGGATCACAACACTACAGCCCCTCTGGGAAGTTTGGTGGTTTCTCTCAAAACCAAACAGGCTCCTCCCATAGGACGCACCAACTGAGCTCCTTGGTGTTTGCCCAAGTGAACTGAAAACTTGAATCAACACAGATGTTTTCTGGGACTTGAGTCAAACTTGCCCAAACTGAAAGCAGCCATGATCCCCTTCAGTGGGTGATGGGATAAACTAGTGTAGAGCATCATATAGCTACTGTATGTGTGTGCTAAAAAGAAAGGGAAGCCACGGAAAAGCCATGGAAAGCCTTGAATGCATGTAGCTAGTCTTAAAAGGCTGCACACAGTCATTCTGAAAAGGCAAAACTATGGTGACCAGAAAGATCAGGGTTGCTGGGGGTGGAGGCAGAGGGCAGATGGATTCCACTCTTTGATACTTTAATAGTGAAAACAGGACATCACACTTTTGTATAAACCCATAGACAGGACAACCTACCAAAAGTAAGCATAAATCATGAACTTTCATTAATAACAATGTGTCAAAAACAAACATAAAAAGCAGAAGCCTAAATCAGTGCTGTTGATCCTGGGGACCATCCAGGCTATGCACTGGCCAGGTCTCTCCTATGTGGAACCAGCAGTGGTACTGGGCAAGCTAGCTTGCCTCTCAAAGCCGCACTCCATACATCTGTGACATGGTGTTCATACCTTACCTGTTGAGACAATGAACATGTTCCAAGGATCTCATGGCCCGCCCAAAACAGAGAAATCAGGGTGGTGATGGCCTGAATTGCAACTTACATCTCAAAGAGGAAGCTTGATCTTGTCCCCTTCCCTCATTCTGACAACCTGCTCCCATCCCACCCTTCACATCAACCCTAGAAACCTCGGACCTTCCAGCTAAATACAGCTCAAAGCAGTTCCTGGTCTTTCCTCCAGCCACTCTAGCTCCCTATTCCGGGAATACCCTAGGGCCTCAGGGCCTAGGCCCTGCAAGTTTCCTCTGCTGGTCCCACTGATCTTGTGCAGTCAGCATGCGCTGGCTGCTAGGAACCCAACTGTGCCCTGTTTAAAATAAAGCTTGGATGTTGCTCTGCTGTCTCCAACACTGGTCTCAGTGTACTGTGGTTCGCTGGGTTTATCTTTGCCTCCCACACAGAGGGCCTTAGGGAGCCTGGAACTGCAGTTTTATTCTTCCCATGTTCTCTGACAGCTCTCATTCCTTTGGAATATGAGCCACCCAGCCTCTATAGCACAGCACCCTCCGTCATGCCCTGCCTTCTTGCTGTCTCTCCTGCTCTCTGCCAGTAGTGGTTCTCTTTGCTTCCATTCCTCACTGCCTTGCACAAAATCGAACCTGCACCCTGTAGATCAGGCTCAGGAGGCAAGGGAAGAAGAAGTCCCACCAGTCACACCCCAAAGTGCATACTTACCCTCAATAACATAACCCATATGGTGGTAGCCCAAGTCCCACCTAGGCACCAGGCAGCCCCTGGGAGCCTGACAGCCCGCTTGGTCTCCTCTTTCTCCTCCTCCTCTGCTCCAACACACTCACCCTTCTTCCCTTTCTTCCGTCATGGTTCAGGCTGTTCTGTTGAGGGGTTCTGGATGATCCCTATTTAGAGACTCACCCACCCTTCCCAGGGTGACCTTCCCACCCACCATCATGTATCATTACCACTTGGGTGGTTAATACAACAGACTTACTAACTGCCCCTCCGTCGTGGCACAGGACAGGACAGTACCACCAAACATCCTGCATGCCCAGGGCAGCAGCCATAGGACATCAGACATTTCCCAGCTCAAATAGAGAAACTTGCTCCCAAGGTCAAGCTGGGACTACATGGGCTCAAAATTGCACGTGTGATGTTGCTTCCTAAGCCAGGCATCTTCCTGTTCTGGCTACAGACCCTGCCGCACCCAAAAAATGACGGTGGCATTGACCTCTGTGTTTTCACATAGCCCTGGATGCTTTTGAAGAAGCCCCCCAAAAAGTATCATAGAATGTGGGGTTGCAGGTGGGCCCTAGGGCTAGTGTTTGTAAGAATCAGAGCAGGGAACAAAGGTCTGGCTAACCTGCACACGGAGGCCTCTGCACATGTTCGCATAGTTCATTCACCTCCTTGAGGCCCCATGGCTACCTGACATGCTTCTGGACTGGTGTTCTCCTAATGGTGAGGCCTCTGCTGCCCAGCACCTCAAGTACCATGACCACCCTCAAGTCATGGAGAAAAGGGCTGCTCTATCACACAGGTGAATGCTGGGCATTTCCCCCACCTCCCGGCAGCTTTCCTTGCTGAGATCTAACAAGCTGAAGAGGCTAGCAGGCAGCGGAGCTTCAGTGAGGTCTGCCCTCTCAATGGGGTGGGGGCATTTCTCCGAGCCTGGCCACAGCTGGACCTCTAAGGTATTCAGGAAAGGTTATGTTAAATATACATGCCCATGCATCTCTAAAATCTTGTTCAGGCCTTTACACCTTACAAGACTTCTCTCTCTACCCAAGGAGCTTCTCAAGGACTTCATAGGCCTATCTCTTTTATGTCATCTTTTCCTTTAAAAGCCATCACTTTCATAGGTTTATAGAGCAGGTATAAAGAACCCTTCCCTTTTTATACTTAAAGGGGGCTCTTGGGAACCAGTGGGCTGTTGGGAAACAGGGCATGAGTTGTGGGAGGCATAGCTTTGAATTCTTCCACAGAAGCTGGGTCAGGGCCCATCCTCACCCCACCCCACCTGCTCACAGGCACTCCACCCTGTGTTCTCCTGTGGCGTTGTTCATCATCTCCTCCCCACTCCCTACCAAACCATCATGCTGCCCACTCTTGGGCATGCTCAGCCTTATGGACCTAGGGACCCTGGAGCTTTCAGGGCTCCACCGTGTTCAGCACATGTGAGCTGTGTATGTTGTACTACATCCTGCATGTCCCCATCAGGGCCTGACTGGAGTTAGGAGGAAAAGGGAGCATCTGTTGTGGGCAGGCAATTGTTTCCCAAACCTCTGAGTAGCAGGTCAGTAGGCCCAGTGAAAGCCACCACACACACACACACACACACACACACACACACACACACACACACACACACACACACACACACACACTTTGCAAGTAGCCAACGCCCTGTCAAGTGGTAACAGCCCCCACCCACCATGTTCAGTTGCCCCAATTCTGGGACTACAAAGGTGTAAAAGGACAAACAGACTGGAAGTGTAATTTTTGTTGGGCCTCTTTATTTAGAACCTGGCGGGCGAGGAGCCCTGGGCAGTTGGTATGGGCAGCACAGGAACCATTTTGACAGTCTGGTCACCAAGTTTAAGAGCAATCTAATAAAGCAGGGGGGAGACTGTAATCTAACTGGAGATGACTGTGTGGGGGCTTTTAAGCATCGACCATTCCCCTAGAGTCTAATATAAAAGTAGATTTACATTTGTGGGTAATCTGAAGCTGGTGATTTCTAGTGCCTTTGGTAATAATCAATAACCCAGCAGTTGCATGGTAGAGAGATCCACGCATGGATAAATACAAATATTAAGTTAGCATAATTTTTTAACTTTTTGTACAAATATACATGTTTTCTTCCTTTTCTCGTCTTTTTCCTTCTACGTTTTCTAGTTTCTCTCTCTTTTTTTTTTTTTTGCACTGAGAGCGAGTAGAGATTAAACATTTTACATAAATGATTTAAAGCTTTACACCTTGGGACCAGCGTACTCCTTGCACATGGTACAGAGTGTTCTCAATACATTGCACAGTTTTCAGATTTCCACAAAACCGTGGGCTGCTTTTGCGCAGCCATCTGCGGTTCCTGCTACATGAACGAAAGGTCCCAGCCGAAGCCCAGAGTTCTTCCATCGTCCGCTGCCCAGATGCCCAGCAAGTTCTCTCTGGCCGTTAGGCTCTATACTGCGGGGAAAGGGACTCAGGTGAGCACGCACGGCAGGAACCCCCCGGGGGCGGCCCCTCCGCGACCCCCCGGGGGGGGCGCCGGACTCACCTAACTCATCGCAGACGCTTGCGCGGGGTCTGCTCCACCGCGCCCACCCCAGGAGCCACGTTAGGAGAGGGACACCCCGCAGGGACGTCGTTCGACGCCTTGTTCTCCTGCGCAGATCTCTTGCGCTTGG